TTAGTGGACACCACCTCATAATGCCCCAGGACACCTTGATCTCCAAGGAGGATCATGGCGGTAGAGGGAGTCCCCATCCCCATATAGGGGGAGGAAAGAGTTGAACAGAGCAAGCTAGAGCCAGGACGGTGGTTAGCAATGTGCCCTGCAGATGCATGGAAAAATCTAGCTGTAGTGTCTGCACATTGCAAACCTATGATAGATATGCCTTGGGTATTGTTACCATGATTAGGTCACTTGCCCACCTGTCTCTAGCTGAGTGGTTTTCCTAACCCACATGATCATTAAAAGCACAATCCAGCTCAGCGTTTCTCAGTCATTTTGTTCATTACCTTTTAAGACATTATTTCCTCTAATTCTTCCTAATTGCCTTCCTCATGAAATTTTAATACAGCAGATGTATTGCAATTCTGTGTGTTATGATTAATTTCATGTGTCAACTTGGCTGGGCCATGAGTTGCAAACCCCACCCCTCGGGTACAGACTTGGAAAGGAGCTGTAGCCTCCTTATGGGGGCTTCTTGGCCAAGCAAGACTGTGGCCTCTGGGGACCCATTCTCCCAGTTCTGCCCTTCCAGAACGTGGGCTGGACACCTTCCCTGAGAGCCAGTCCCAGGATTTTGGGCCCCACCTAGAAACCTCCTTGCTTGTTCTTCACTCCTAACACCCCCATCTTCCTTCAAGTTCTTGACCTGCACCCTCTTTATCCCTCCATGTAAAACTTCTGAAATTCTCTTTTCCTTTCATAATCATCTTTAACCATTTTAAAACTGGACCCCAAAAGTTAGCAACTACGGATTACTTTCCCCTTATGAGAGGGCAGGGGTGATCCAGGCATCAAACGCTCCTTGGCATTAAGAGGGAATGTTTGGTGTTAATCCTTAGGGGTACATGTACTTCAGGTCCTAGGATGGGTTGGATTGTTTTAAAAGAGTTGTCATGAAGTTTCTAAATTAAAACTGGTTGAATACTGGGGCGCCTGGGTGCCTTAGTCAGTTAAGCGTCTGCTTTCGGCTCAGGTCATGATCCCAGGGTCCTGGGATTGAGCCCCGCATCAGGCTCCCTGCTTCCTCCTCTCCCACTCCCCCTGCTTGTGTTCCCTCTCTCTGTCTCTCTGTCAAATAAATAAATAAAATCTTTAAAAATAATAATAAAAGAAAAATAAAAATAAAATTGGTTGAATATTCATGTCCTGCTATATTCTTCATCTCAATTAATCTCTCTAACAATCACATGAGGTAGGTCCTATTACCAGCCCTATGTTTTTTAAAGATCTATTTGTTTGTGAGAGAGAGAGTGAGAGAGCAAGAGAGAGCGGGGCTCCATCTCACAACCCCGAGATCATGACCGAGCCAAAACCATGAGTCAGTCGCTCAACTGACTTCACCCCCCAAGCGCCCCTATCAGCCCCATTTTAAAGATGAGGCAACTCAGGCACAGAGAGGTTAAGTAACTTGCATGAGGTCACACAGCTAGTAGGTACCTAAGCTCAGTTTCCAACCTTTAAACCACCACAAGCTAACTCTGAGAGACTCAAAGGTATTCTGGCCCTAGGACAGGAGTTAAGCCCAGGAAGCGTTTGCTCTTTACTCATCTTCTATATTTAGTAGGCATTCCACATAGGTATGTGAAAGACTGAGGTTGCTAAGAGAAATTGCAGGGCAAGTCAAGCTAAAGGTTAACCAAGGCGTGCTGGGTTCTATCTTGAGTCAGAGGAGAAAATGATGCTTGATCTCATTCACAGCCCAATGCCAAAGACCAAAGGCCAACCACCTGCCCTGTGTCCTTGTGGGCAAAAAACTGAAACTTACAAAGTGGCCTAGAGGGGAGGTGGCTGTGGGGATCAGAACCATCTAGAAAATAAGGAAAGTTTTGCAGAATTATTATGACAGAGGCACAGGAAAAGAGGAAGAAGAAGAAGAAGAATCCCATAACCTTAAGTTGAAAACTTTTTCCAGGGAAAAAACTAAAATGTCGAGACAGAATCTGTGAGAATTTCTAAGTCCATGTCCCCAGAAACCAAATTTTGGCATTAAGTGTTGCCCACCACACGCATATTAAATCTAGAATTCACAAGTTAATAATTGTTAGTGCTGATGAAGTATTTATATAGCACCTGGGAATTGGGTTTTGGTTTTATTATAAAAGCAATATAAGCTCATGGTAAGAAAAACCAACAGAATAGAAAGGAATAAAATAAAATATAAAGGTCTTACTCTGAGGCCAATCGCTCATTTCAACTCCCCAGAAGCAACTGCTTTTGTTAAGAGATTTAGTTCCAGAGCTCTCCCATGCAGTCATGGGAAAATATTGTTTGTTTGCTAATGTTTTTAGACAAAGGGGACTGTGCTCTATACTAATGTCGTGTAACTGCTTTCTTCAGTATATAATCACATGTATTGGGTAGCTTGCCACATGATATCCCACTTATTAGAGATGCATGCATGCTTTAATTAGTCTCCTACTATTGGACATGTAGCTGAAATAACTGAGAAATAATGATAGTCCCCAAAATGATTTGACATATAAACATCTTTGTACAGAAGCTCCCGCTAGAATATAAGTTCTATGGTGACAAAGATGTCGCCTGCTTGGTTCACTGATGAACCCCTAGCATTGGGTACACTGCCTGACATACAGCAGGTGCCCTATAAATGTTTGAGTGAATACATCTTCGTGTGTATGTGTATCTATACAGGTAGTTACATTTTACATATATGTTGACCAATCACCCTCCAAAATTATTGCTTCCCTATATACTCCCATCTAAGTTCTCTTCTGTTTGGTTTTCGTCTCCTGGGGACATCTTAAAGCTCAGTGTAGTAGAAATAATGAATGATTGTCTATGTTTCCCATTGTAGCTGTACCTAGTTAACATGAATTTAGTGGCTTAAAATGACACCAGTTCATTATCTTCCAGAAGTCCAAAGTGGGTTGTCAGGGCTGCGTGGCCAAAGTGGGGCTGGGGCTCAGAAGTCCGAAGTGGGTTGTCAGGGCTGCGTGTTCCTTCTGAAGCTTTTAGGGTAGAATTCATTTCCTTGCCTTTTAAGGTTTGCGTTCCTTGGCTCTTGGTCCCTCCTACATCACTCCAACCTCTGCTTCCATTGCCACATCTCTTTCTCTGACTCTGACCCTCCTGTCTCCGTCCTTCCTTTATATGGACCCTTGTAATTGACACGGGGCCCACCTGGATGACCCAAGATAATCTCCCCATCTTGAAATCACATCTGCAAAGTCCCATTTGCCACCGAAGATAACATATTCACAGGTCCCAGGGATTACGACATGGATATCTTTGGGGAGCCATTATTCTGCCTACCACAGCTTGGGAATCAGGTTTCAACTTCATTGTCACTTCAACACGCACACCCTAAAGTTGTGTCGTGTTCCCACTTACCACGTCCCGAGCTAAACCTAAGCAATATACCAACTCGCTCAGTGGCCTTGCCCAAGTTATATAACCTCCCTCAGGCTCCATTCTCCCACTCTCAGAATTGGAGAGATTAATACTTGTTTCACTAGGAAATGCTGCATGTAGAATATTGCAGGCAAACCTTTCCATTCAACCAGCATTCGGGAATTATTGCATGCTGTTTTAATCTCGACAAAATGTAGGTAAAACCCTGGTTAAGCAGTAACGGGACAGATCTTGCAAACTGCTGATGCGAATGTAAATTGGTACAGGCTTTCTAGAGGGTAACGTAGCACTGCGAATGTAATGAAAAGCCTTATGTTTGTTCTCTTTATCCCACTAATTACCCATTCTAAGTGTATCTTAGGGGCATGGTTGAATTTACATACTAAAATGTTCGGTGAAAATTATTTATAATGGGGTGGAGGGCTGGAAACAAACTAAATGTCCACAAATAAGGGCTTAGATGAATAAGCGTGGTACATCCTCATGACAGAAATCTCATCAGCTGTGTAAAAGGATTTTGTAGAATACTAAATACCATGTTCGGAGGTTTGTCAAATGTTAGTGACAAACTTGGAACCCTGCCTTATTTATGGCCTCAAATCAATAAAAGAACTGTGTGGTGAGAGAGTGTACATATAAAGAAAACAAAAAAAAGATTGAAGGTATACAGCTCATGATGTTACAGTGGCTATTTCTAGGTCATGGAATAACGAGTGATTTTCATTTTCTAACAAGGATGGCTGGGGGGCAAAGGGATTTTCCACACAGAACAATTCTTCTGGTTGGGTTATCAGACGGTCCTTGTATAGAACAAAAACTTCCGAAGGTGTCCCTCTAGTGGAAGAAAGGATGCGGCTGCTACGGGGACACCCGGCTGCGACTTTTTTTTTATTCAAGACCTTTCGAGAGAAACAAGAGCCTGAAAGTAGTAAACTATTCTGGATATTCCCCAAAAAAATGTTAACAGGGAGGCAGAGGCCAATTGCAAAAGGAAGAATCAAACCTCACCGTAGGAAACAGGGGCTATTAATTCTAGGCGCGCTTGGAAGACTGACAATTAGCATTTTCATTGCCAAGGTCGGGTAACTACGCTCCTTGGGTTTAGTTCTCCTCTCCTTGCTTTTGGGTAGCTTTGGGTGCTCGTTGTAGATCCAGGCCGCCCAACTCTCAGACCGAAGGGACAAAGCAAGGGGGGTTCACTAAAGGCTCGGGGCTGGAGCCTGAGGCTTGGAGATGACACCTGTCAGGAGCGCGGGCACCACCTCCGGACTCTGCGAATCTTCGGCCCCACTCGGCTCCTCTTCGGCTAAGTTCGGCCGGCGCCCCTCCCGGCTGCAACTCTCCTCTTTGGGCTGAACTCCGCGGGCTCTCACCCTGTCGGGCGCGGCTTCCTTCGGCTTCCTTCGACCGAAGCTCGTCTGGGGCTCGGCTCTCCTCGGCGGAGCTCGGCCCAGGCTCGCCTCCGGCTCGGCTCTCCTCGGCTGAGCGCGGCCTACGCTCGGCCGCGCTCGGCTCTCTTCGGCTTCCTTCGACCGACGCTCGTCTGGGGCTCGGCTCTCTTCGGCCGAGCTCGGGCGCGGCCCCGGAAGGGCGCCCATGGAGCCGGGACTGCCGGCTCGGCGGACAGCTATGGCGCCGCTGCTGGAGTATGAGCGGCAGCTGGTGCTGGAACTACTGGACGCGGACGGGCTGGTAGTGTGCGCCCGCGGGCTGGGCGCGGACCGGCTCCTCTACCACTTCCTCCGGCTGCACTGCCACCCGGCGTGCCTGGTGCTGGTGCTCAACACTCAGCCGGCCGAGGAGGTGCGGCCGGCCGCGCGGGGGGCAGAGGGGACCCCGAGAGCGTTGGGGGCCTCCTGAACGGATGCAGGCCCTGGCGCTTCTGAGAGCGGTGACGGCCCCTGGCGCCGGGGGGAGGGCGTTGAACGGGGGTCTCTGAGGCAGATGCGGGTCCGTGCCACAGCTCGAGGACACAGAGGGTAGGCAGGGTCCCGAGGAGGATGGAGGTGCCTGACACGGACGGGAGGGCTTTGAATGGGGGTCTGCGTAAGGCAGTTGCAGGTGTCTGCCACGGGTGCAAGGACACTGAGACGGATGGAGGGGCTCTGAGAGGAGCAGGAGAGTCATTTGAGGAGAATGGGGGCGGAGAGAAGGATTGGAGGTCCCTGAAGAGGACAGGGATGTCTAGAGAAGGATACAGGCAGGAACGGAGCTGGGGGGAGAGGGGCATTGGGTCAGAAGGGACGGGAGCTGGAAGCTGAGGATGTTGGGGAAGGGCACCTGCGGTTAAGGAATGGAGGACACTGAAGACCGAAGGGGGATACACCTCTGCTAAGACAGGGGGCTCGGTATTGAGAGGTGGCACAGCCTGTTCCGACGAGTCTGATGAGCCCCTTGCTAGAGCAGGTGGCCAGGAGGAAGATGTCCGCAGAGAATGACCACAGACTCCTTGAGGGTGGAGATCTGTCTGATTTGTCTAGGTATCCCCAGTACCCCACGTAGAGCCTAGCACAAGGCAGGGCCCCCAGTAGAGGAAGTGTTCAACTGAAGATACAAAGGGCCAAGTTGCCATTGACATGAAATCCCCTCTGGGGTGGATCGGGACGGAACTAGCAGTCTAAAATACCACCCGGGAAAAGGATTCCTTGTGATGTCCTCACATAGTTCGCTTGCCTGCAAACCTGGCTTTGGCGGGACGTATTTTGTAGCTAGCAGAAGTCTTTTAACCGAGGGTTTAAAGCTCCTTTTCTGTTGTTAAAATGCTAATAACAACTCAAGTGCAATGATTCCTTAGTGCAAACCCCAAAACAAAACAAAAATAAAAGCCTGGTTAAATGTAGATGATTGGTGGATCAACATAAAGTAGTAACTTGGTTTGTACATTCCTCAAGTGTATTGTCTCTCGTTTTAAATTCAAAGACCTGCAACCTAATAAAAACTGCCCTGTATTCAACAGCCTACTAATAAAATTTGGTTTGATTTAGGAGTACTTTATCAATCAGCTGAAGATTGAAGGAGTCGAACACCTCCCTCGCCGGGTAACAAATGAAATCACAAGTAACAGTCGCTATGAGGTCTACACACAAGGAGGTGTGATATTCGCAACAAGTCGAATACTTGTGGTCGACTTCTTGACTGATAGAATACCTTCAGATTTAATTACCGGTAAGAATTTGAAACCTTATGATTTGTATATAAATTGGCACTTTTTTGTGTCTGTCCCCTCTGCTAAACTAAACTAGAACCTCCTTGTGAGCAGCACTGGATGTTTTTGCTCTACATTGTGCTTCCAGTTGTTAGCACAATACCAGACACATTTTAGATGCTTAAAAAGTATTTGTGGCCCGAATAACTAACTAAATTAGTAAGTAAAGTAAGAATGACTCTTCCTTGTTTCCTAAACTCATATCTGGTAAATACTTGGTAATTGGCTGGCCTTTTAGAACCTAATCAGACTTGAAATGTTTACAAATATTCTTTGTATATTTCCTAAAATATTTGGTTTTCTCTCTAAAGAGTTTTTTCCCCCATGATTTGAAATTAAACCAAGCAGTTGCTTAATTATTTTGAGAAGTATGGTTTAGTTTTAGTTAGAATTAATATAGAAAAGGAATTATTTTTCATTATTATTCGTCCTTTTGGAAACCTTTTCTGATTTTTCCCAAAGGTAACCTGAGGGCCCTAACTCGCTGCTCTCAGATTACCCTTTGCTTCTCCCCAGTCATAGCAGTAAAGAACACTACATTATCTTTGCCTGTTTGTTTGTCTGTCTCACTCATGAGATAACAAGCTTCATAAGTATAAGGGACAACTTGTTCATCCCAGGCTAAGTAACTAGTATGGGTATTTGTTGGATAAAATGATGCATGAATATGCTGTGACCTTCAGTGAACTTCTGGAGGGCAGAGAGACTGTGATATTCATAATCATACTTCCCATTATGGCCCTGAATGTAGAAGACCCTCAAGAAATATTTAATGAATAAATGTATGAACGAATGCTTTTTGTGGTTCATGGTAAACTAATTGAAGAACAGTGTTGTTATAGTTTTGTAACATTTATAATTGTCATCAGCCAGGCCCAGGCGGTGAGGTCTGACTCACCTGGCTTTGAATGATGATGCCACCACTTACAAGCAAGTTACTTAATTTTAATAAGGCTCAAGTCTTCTTTTCTTTTTCTCATTTCTTTAAATTGAGAAAATAGCACTTCCCAGAGTTATCATAAGGATTAAATGAGTGAAAATAAATTGTTCAAGATAGTGCCTGGGACATACTAAACAGTAAATAATAGCAAAAAAAAAAAAAAAAAGTATTGGCTTTTCATTACCAGAAATTCTGATACATCATAAAGTCTTTTACTGGTTGCTGCTTTCTTCTCAGCTTGGTTTTATATTTATTTAAGTGGATAAAATGGGGAGGGAAATGTACTGGAACCACCACTAGATGTCAGTATTGCTCTGACTTTTAGTAGCCGTTCAACCCAATTAGGCAGAGAGCAATAATGAATCAAAGAAACATCCAGATTATAGCTTATAGGTAATTAGGTAGCTCCTAATTAAAAGCACAAAATTCTGTATCCATTTCTGATCATGTCCCAACCAGTAATGAAGCTGGAGCTGCTGCTGCCGCTTGGCTGAATGGAATGCAGATGAATACCAGAAGAGAATCCCTTCAGATTCTGCACCCTGGAGGGATTGGCCCCCAGAGGCTCCCCATGGCACTTTCACCACGGCTCTCACAGACCAAACAGCAGTCCTTGAAGCATGTAACCCTCCAGAAGGTTCTGAATGCCCTCTGCCCTAATTTTTGCCCCCTCTCACTACCTATGAAATTCACTACCACACCCCACGCAAGGGTCCTCGCCAACCACAACTCCTCAGCAGTGAGAGAAGTGTGTACATAGTTACCCTGATGGTACTTTCAAAAGACAGGACAGGAGGCTTTCATTGCTAAAACGGCTCTGACACCTCCAAATAGAACTGAGGACACATTTTCCATGACAAACTTAAAAAAAAGAAAAAAGTTACATGTTAGATTTGTGCACACAGTGCTATAATTCAGTTTTATGTTCATTCAACAAACATTAAATTTACTAAGGGTCCCTTGTTTGGCAGGAATGTGGTAGGTGCTGATGGTAGAAAGATCAATGAGACTGTGTGGTGAGCTCCTGAGTTAAGCTGCTCCTAGGTTTGAGCCCACCTCACCGTGCGCCAAAGGTGTGATCTTGGGCAAATTGCTTAATTTGTATGACTCAGTTTACTCATCTGTAAATGGAAGCCTGTAACAGTGCCTTCCTCCTGGGATAGTGTGAGGGTGAAATGAGATCATGTATGTAAAATTCTCCACATTGTGCTCGGTACATGGTAAAGCATTCTCTGATTACTGCTTGTTGTGATGTCCTTGTCTTCAAGCAGTTTAGTGGAGGAGACAGAAAGAAGTAATCACAGTACAGTATGAGATACAAATTGTCATGGGAGCATAAAAATGAAACGTAACTAGGCTTTTATGAGACTGCAGTTGCCCCCAGAAATACAGCCTGCTTGTGTTTTCTTTTTTTTTTTAAGATTTTATTTATTTATTTGAGAGAGAGAGAGGGAGAGAGAGCATGAGTGGGAGGGAGGCGCAGAGGGAGAGGGAGAAGCAGGCTCCCTGCCGAGCAGGGTGCCTGATGCAGAACTCGATCCCAGGACCCCAAGATCATGACCTGAGCTGAAGGCAGACGCTTAACCGACTGAGCAACACACGTACCCCTGCTTATGTTATCATGTTGCTAGTTTTTAAAATGGTGGGGGCGGGGGGAGAGAGTCCTCAGGTGGTGTCACTTAGGAAGAACCAGGCTTTGTCCTCAGACCCCCCTGATTTGGAACCTTTAGTCTCCCATTGTTTGTTGGATGACCTTGATCAACTTATTTCCCTCTCCTGGTCTCATAATAATACCTACCTCATAGAATTCTCATGAGGATTAAATGAATAACAATCCAGTAAAGTACCTAACCCCTGCACCTGGGATAGAATAGTTCTCTTCCTCCTCCTCCTGGGTTTTCTAAAGAATGACAGTCTTTTGGAGCACAACATTTCCTTAAATTGAGGTTCATCTTTCCTTTGGGAGTCCCCTTTTATTACTTTAACCTTATGTGATATTTCAGTCTAGGCCAGCAAGGGTAGCCCAGGAAAGTACTTGGAAAAGTCCAACGACTAGGTCCAGAATCCTTGCTCAGTAGTAAGTTTGTTACGTGTATGTATTGCAGTTGTTGAAAATCCTTTGTCTACAAATTCCTAAATAACACTATTAATTTCTACTGTATCTGAAAAACAATTTGCTTAGCTAGAATAAATGGTAGCTCCATCCACCTCAATCCAAAATTTAAGCACCAAAACAGTAGAATCTGAATTGGGCTCACTGAACTAGTAGAAGAAGGGGTCACAAATCACTCCCAGACCCTAGGAGTGATGTGAATTGGTTCAAAAACACGTAAGCACATTTATGACAAATTTATATATAAGCTAATGGCTTGATATAGGTCTAAGAGACTGAGAATCATCATAGAATAATTGAGTTTTTGATTCAGAAATGACATGTGCAGTCTCGTGTCATCTGTGTTCCTAATTCATCACTAATCGCACTGCATCAAAATGGCACATGTACGTATAATGTCATGTGGATTTATTATATATACATATGAAAGATCATCTGGTCCAGTATTCTCATTTTATAAATAAGGAAACGCAATAATTGTCCTTGTTTTTGTGATCTCAGAGGTGTCAATCACACCACCCCAAAACACAGAGGTAGTAAATACATTCATTAAAGGTTTTTATTTTAATGGACTAATTTACCTCTCAGTTGAATATACTCTGATTCCAAAAATTGAATTACTCTAATAGGTGATGCAGATGTGGCCCAGACTTCTGAATTACCGCTTTTATGTAGACCACATCTGGTTCACCTATAAAAAGAGAATCCGTGAGCCACTTCGCTTTCAGAGATTCTTCCACCATGCCAGACACGCCCCACGCCAAGGCCTTTGCTCTTACTGTCCCTCAGCCGGAACTCTCCTGGCGCACGTGGTGACAAGGCTCACCTCCTCATTTCCATCTATCCGTGGCTCAGGTAGGTTCTCAGTGAGGCCACCCTACCTAAAGTTGCAACCACCACCCCTTGCACATGCTCCCCCTCCTCCCCTGATTCATTTTTTTTCCTGCCTAGCACTTATTACTCTATAGCCTACTAAACAGTGCACATGTTTATATTGTGTATCATAAGGACCATGAGGACAGGGATTTACGTATTGTGTGTTCACTGCCGCATCCCCCACCGAGATCAGTGCCTGCCCATGCCCAAGTAGGTACTCAGGAGAGACGTGGTGAATAAGCAAATGAAAATGAGCATGAATGTCCATGACTATTCTGCCATCTAAATTAAAAAATTTCCTCTCAGGCATCTTGGTGTACAGAGCTCACAGGATAATCGAGTCTTGTCAAGAAGCCTTCATCTTGCGTCTGTTTCGCCAGAAAAACAAGCGTGGCTTTATTAAAGCTTTCACAGACAACGCTGTCGCCTTTGATACTGGTTTTTGTCACGTGGAAAGAGTGATGAGGAATCTTTTTGTAGGGAAGCTCTATCTGTGGCCAAGGTAAACAGCACTACGCGACAAATTTCTGTGAGAGAATCTGCCATAACTTAAGTGTGCACTTTAACATGATGTAAAATGTACTGTAATTGCACCTGATACGTGATTGCCAGGTTCATAACAAGTGCGTCAAATAGAAATAGATGGTCTCCACACCCGTGGTTCTTTTACAAGGAGAGAGATTTGATAGTTATTTTTCTGGTAACCCATCAAATCCGTCCAAGGGCAGCCACTTTATTCCTTCTTGTATGTTTAGCGAGACCCCCAGGGAATCTAGAGACTCACATGTACAACAGCTTTAGGTGAACTGTAGATTTATTGGCTAAGACTCCCACTTCACTTTGAAAATTACCCGTCGGGGAATAAAGCACAAAGATTTTTGAAGAATTGATGTAAATGTCTAGGAAAAACCATAAGGTTCCAGTGTTCCAACACCTTGCACCTAGGCTAATATGTATTTTGGTTTCTTGATTATACCTTATTGAAGGGATCGGCATACTTTTTCTGTGAAGGGCCAGATGGTAACTATTTTGGGCTTTGCAGGCCACGCGATCTGACACGATGATCCAGCTCAGCTGTTAGAGCAGCAAAGCAGCCGTAGATGGTCCGTACACAGTGGGCGTGGCTGTGTTCCCCTAAAACTCGTTCTGAAACCAGGCACTGGGTTCAGCCCAGACAATAGTTTTGCTGACCCCTGCCTTTGAATGATAACGTCCATGCGTTGAGGTTAAAAGTATTCCTGAAAAAACAAACTGAGGGTTGCTGGAGTGGGGGGTGGGGTGGGAGGGATGGGGTGACTGGGTGATAGACACTGGGGAGGGTATGTGCTCTGGTAAGCACTGTGAATTGTGCAAGACTGTTGAATCTCAGATCTGTACCTCTGAAACAAATAATGCAATATATGTTAAGAAAAAAAAAAAGAAGAAGGTAGCAGGAGGGGAAGAATGAAGGGGGGGAAATCGGAGGGGTAGATGAACCATGAGAGAAGATGGACTCTGAAAAACAAACTGAGGGTTCTAGAGGGGAGGGAGGTGGGAGGATGGGTTAGCCTGGTGATGGGTATTGAGGAGGGCACATTCTGCATGGAGCACTGGGTGTTATGCACAAACAATGAATCATGGAACACTACATCTAAAACTAATGATGCAATGTATGGGGATAATATAAGAATAAAAAAATTAAAAAAAAAAAAGTATTCCTGACAGCATTGTTTTTGCTTTCTATTTTGTTTGTGTCTTAATTGCATTTACAAAACCAAACCAAAACAAACAAACAAAAAAAACAACTACAAGAGTATTAAACTGAGACCAGAAATACACAGCTCTTGAAATTCAAGAAAATCTTTGGAAACTATTTGTCTCTGTAGGTTCCACGTGGCAGTGAACTCGTTTTTAGAGCAGCACAAACCTGAAGTTGTGGAAATTCACGTTTCTATGACGCCCGCCATGCTTGCTATACAGACCGCCATACTGGACATTTTAAATGCATGTCTGAAGGAGCTCAAGTGCCATAACCCGTCCCTTGAAGTGGAAGATTTGTCTTTAGAAAATGCTATTGGGAAACCCTTTGACAAGGTACTCCGTCTCTTTTCCTTTTAAGCACAGTTTGTGATGTTATAATTTTAAAGACTCCAAGTTATTTTAGTAATTGCAGTGTCCTTAACAGGAATTTGCTGTTATTTTAGAATTAATTTGGAGCTGATTTAAGGATAGCTTCTTTGGTTTTCTGGAAAGTAATCATTTGTAGTAAAATACATGGACCGACACATAAGCACACCTCTGATTTTTGCAGTTATGCAGTGATTATCTCGTATTTTAAGTATAATTAAGAGAAGGATAAATAACCTTTTTTGCTCTGAAATGACAGCATTTGGATATCTACAGGTAGAAGAGTTTTTACATAAGAATGCTTCATGATTTATGAGCTTTTGTTTGGAATAAAAACAATTGGGATGAGTTTTCATTACTGAGGAATGTGAACCTTGCTCTCTTAAAATTACATTTTGAATTGAGAAAATGGTAAGACTAAGACTTTAGTTCAAGGAACTTTTATTCTAACTGATTTTGTTTGTTTTTTTGCAGTGAAAGAACATGTGCACATGCGTGAGGAGGGGGAGGGACATAGGGAGAGGGAGAGAGAGAGTCTCAAGCACACTCCACGCTGAGTGTGGAGCACAATGCAGGACTCAATCCCATGACCCTGAGATCATGACCTGAGCTGAAATCAAGAGTGGGGCACTTGGGGCGCCTGGGTGGCTCAGTC